GCAGCAGCACAATGAGTGGGTGAGCTGCAGCTGCAGCGCTCTGGACTCAGCACCGCGAAGCGGGCACTGCGCAGTCATCTCGCCCGAGTGTGTGACGGCACGGAGTCCAGCACAGCCGCAAACAGGCAGCCCGCGCGATTCATTATCTCAAGGACCGAATCGAGAGTCTCCCCGCCCCGCCCCGCCCCGCCCCGCCGGATCGTACGCCCTCTGTTTGTTGTGCTCTGTTTCTGCCGGCTGTGAATGAGTGCCTTTTGACTCCCACTGCAGAGGAGACCGGCGGTCTTCCCCCGTTGCAAGCCTTCCCCTCTCCGGCTCTATGCCCCTTTTGTAGCCAGCTGGACTGAACTGCTGCAGGGAACCCTGATCGCGGAGAGATCGCCCAGTGCTTCCTGACTTCTCAGGCAGAAAACAGAATTAAGCAAGGGTCAAGGGGCAACGAAGCAGCCACAGACGATGGGAATGGAGACTCTCTCTCCTCCCCCTGCCCCCTGCCCCCTGCCCCAGATCATAAATTTACATATTTCTTAAGAAGAGAGACCCACATGTTGTTGCTTACTCAGCTGGAAGCTTACTTTGTGCAGGGCTTCATTTGGGATGAGTTTTTAATGGCAAGGTTCAATCCTTGAAGGCAAGAGTACTTTAGAGCATGTGCAGGCTGCTGATCCCTCATCACTCAGGAACCAAGCCCTGGCCTTGCCTCTCTGTAGCTGTAATTTATAGGTAGGCCTGTACATCTACAATCTTAACTTTTACAAATTAATGGCTGAACTTTTCACAAGGTTTGTATGATTCATTTCCCTTTCTTCAGATTATATTTTCTGAGGTGTGTTTGTATGCACAATGCTTTGGCTGCAATTTTGTGCATAAGAGAGCCCAACTGAATAGAGTAAGATTTGATGGTGACTCAGAATGCATAGGATGATGCTGTCTGTGAGCCAATGTCACAAAGGTGCCAGGAGAAATGCTAGACGTTTCTCTCCCCACTTTTACAACTTCCTGGCATGATCTGCAAGAGGAAGAAGAGAATGATACTCACACTGCCTCTCAGCGTAACATACCACACAGGAATCTTGTGCTGAGGATACAATAGAGAGGAGAAGAGCCTGGAAGTCACCTTGGGTTCCTTGCAGGAGGAAGAAAATGGGACATAAATGCAATATAAAATTATAATAATTTTAATAATATCCAATTTCCAAAGGTAGCCATGTTAGTCTGCTGTAGCAAAACCAACAAACAATCTTGTGGCATCTTGTATACCATGTTTCCCAGTATGGTGCTCACCAGGTGTTTGGTCCATAACACCCTTCCTCCCAATGCCGAGCAGAATAGCCCATGCCCATGGATGATGAGAGCTACAGCTCAAAATACCTGGAGGACGCAAGGCTGGGCCAGGCTGTAGACCAGCATTGGCCCTCCACATGCTGTGAACTACAACTCTCACAATCTCTGATTACTGGTCATATTGGAAGCTGTGCTCCACAACAGCTGGAAAATTAACCAATCTAATATTGCTTACGTTTTTATGGACCAGAAGGCTGGAGAATACAGTAGGGTCAGATTTGGCCAACAGGCTTGAAGTTTCCCATCCCTCGTGTTTGTTTGTTTGTTTGTTTGTTTGTTTATATCTACCTTTTTTCCTTTCAAGGAACTCATGACAACTTACATAACTCTCCTCCTCCTCTCAATCTTATCCTCACCACAACAATCCTGTGAGGTAGGCTGGGCTGATGAGTGCAAGGTCACCCAATGAGCTCTGTGGCTGAGCAGAGACTAGAACCCTGATCACCTGAATCCTCAGGCTCAACCACTACGCCACACTGGCTCCCACCACACTGGTTTAAAGATTTCGGAGTTGGAACCAGCACTCTGAAACAGCTCGGAGACTAAATGGAAACTCATGAAGATGAATACTGGTAGTGTACACTGGGAACTCCCTGCTCATATTCTGGAAACTTCATTTTGATCCAGCGCTCTTCAAAGACGGCCACACAGTGCGTTACAGTTTTCTAATCTGGATGGATTACACTAACTAGGTTCACCTTCTTCTTGAAATAGGTTCTGAAAAGCCTTCCTCCACTGTGGCCCTAACTCAGAGGTGATAAACACGTGGCCTTCCAGATGTTGCTAGAGTTCAGATATGTCAGCTCTAGCCAACACAGTAATACTGTGAGACCATCGGAATTGCCACAATCCTTGTCCGGTGGAGGATATCCATGTGCCAGGTTGTGGCACCCTGTGGGCCAGAGGTTCTGCATACCTGAGCTAGATTGTGATGTGGGTGAAAATAGGGAATCCCCAAATATTGGGTGGAGTCATCTTCCATGAGCTGATCCAGCCTACTGTACCCGGGACTGGTGTACCACCTATCTAGTCATATCATAGCTATCTTTCAGTTTGTGAACCTGAGGACACGGACAAGCCCATGGAGGATTGAAGCCTGCTAACTTGCTCTTCAGTTTCTTGTCCAGCCTAGCTTGTGAAATCTGGGCTGGATACCTGAACCTCTGGGGTGCTCAGTGCTTCTGAAGAACAGGTTGCCAGAGCTTTGAAAGAAATGTTGGTGAGACTCTTGAAGGAGAAGCCAAATTTTGATCCTATGGCTTGGAATAAATACCATCCTGTCAGATTGTCATTCATGGCCAGAGTGCTAGAGCAAGTGGTGGCCTCACAACTCGAAGCAGTATTGGATGATGCTGTTTATTTAAATCCATTCAAATCAGATACCAGACCTGGTTATCAGGTGGAAACAGCCTTGGTTAATTACTTATCCAAGGGAATGATGTGCAGCAAGTATAACATTGTTGGTTTTTTTGGAACTTTCAGAAGCTTTTGATACCATCAGCCATGATATCCTTCTGGATTGTTAATCTGGGTTGTGTTCAGCAGGCACAGTTTAAAGTGGTTCCAGTGCTTCCTAGGGAAGAAGTCCAGGAAGGGATGCCACAAGGTTCCATCTTGAATCCCTTGCCTTTTAACATCTTTAGGAAACTGCTGGAGGAAGTAATGGGCTGAGCAATACCTCTTGCTTTCATTTCCATATTCAGAGAGACTGTGGAAGTCTTGAACTGGAAGTTATTTTGGGGTGGGTGAGGGTGAATAAGCTGAAATGCAATCAAGACAAGCTGGAGGTACTATAAGCTGAGAAACCAACTACCCGAATGGAGGTTTACAATTGGTCTGTAAGGTGGTTCCACATCTCAAAAACACCAAATGCATGGTCTGGGAGTCCTCAAGGACTCTGCTTGAACTGAGGATGCGCTGATTGCTGTGGTATCCAGGAATGCGTTTTACCAGTTTAATCAGGTAGTTGTGGCCCTATCTGGAGAAAACAGAGCATGCTTTGGTTATCCCTGCACTCGTGAAGTCCAGGTTGGACCACTGTAATGTGCTGTACAAAGAGATGCCTTTGAAGACAGTCCAGAAATTTCAGCTGACACATAATACAGCCACCCAAGTATGGGTGGGGACAAGATTATCCGATTGTATGACACCTGTACTGCACCAGCTGTACTGGTCATCAGTATGTTTCCAACCCCAATTTAAATTGCTGGCTTTGATCTTAGCACGTTAAATGGTTTGGGACCAAACTGGATGAAGGACACCTCCTTCAGCCTTATCAACTGGCTTCACTGATCAGAGGAGAGGGTCTTCTCACTTGCTCACTTGTGAGGGCAGTCAGGTTGATTGGTATATGAGGTAAGGCCTTTTCTGCGGTGGCCCACACTTTTGCATTAAGTTGCCACCAGAAGTCCTCCAGGACCTATCCACCGCATACTTTTAAGAGAGAGCTAAAGACTTACATCTTTCTCTTGGCCTGTGCCTGATTGTTTTTATTGGACTGACTTATAGCTGTAATTGTACTGTAGGTTCCATGCTATGCTGATGTTTGTCATGTGGAACTTTTTCTACTTTCAGTACTGTACTATTTTTATTATGAATTTTATTATATGCATGTCAGTTACACACCTGCTCTAAATGTTAGTCTATACATATTTTAAATAAATAAAATCCAGATTGTATTAATTTGAGTTCAATCCATAGTACTTGAAGCATACAATAGTAACATAAAACTGAATAATACATATTTCAGTTATTCTAAATTAATTTGCTTTTGATGTACTCCAGAGAAATTTGCATTTAAATTGTCAACTCATTTAACGAGTAGCTGAGTTTAACCTAACTTCAAACATTTCAAAAACACTATTTACTTCAATTTTATGAAAGATGACAGAACCACAAAACACAGCAACAGAAGGGCAATCAGATTAGAGGAGGGGACAATACAAGCCTCGATACTAGATCTAATTTCCTATTATGCAGGATGGGGCTACTGAAGACTTAGGGAACAGAAAGCATTGCTTTCCTGCAACTTTTTCATACTTTGACATATTCTGTAGCCCTTCCTTCACAACATGCTCTGTACGGTCAGACGAAGACAGCGCCTCGCCCATGGCTACCCAAAAAGCGCTCCGAAGATCTGCCAGGAAAGCGCTTTCGCTTCGGCAAACGCAAAGGATCTATCCGTTGCACCACCCCAGCTTGCATATACATAAGATGGGCGAGGCGGTATCCTTGACAGCGCCCACTTCTCTTGATGGAAGCAAGCTTCAGTGTGACGCAGAAATCTTCCTCGGCCACGCCAGGAGCTCTGCGTTAACTCCGAAGCTTGCGCAAGCCCTGCGTCGCTAGAGAGCGAAGGAGCGGAAGACTTCTCATCGCTGGGTGGGCATCTCCGGTCGGGAGCCTCGGCGACCACCGACGGCTGAGGCACGAAGCTGCTCGGAGGGGTCCAGGGATACAGCAGCCCGAGGGGGAAGCCCGAGCACCTCTTCCGTGTGGCAGCCTCGCCCTCGCCGCGGAGAGACCCCCAGCCCGCCGATCCAGAGCGCGGCGCGGCGCGGCGCGTAACGGCTGCGCTCCGGCTCCTGGGGACTCTGTCCTCCCTCCCTCCATCCCCTCCCGCGGCGCAAGCGAAAGCGAAAGCCGGGTGTGGCCCCGCCCCGCTTGCTGCGGCTGGAAGAAGCGGCAGAAGCTGTCAGGCTGCGGGTTGGGCGGCTCCGGGTCCCCGCTCCGGCTCGCCTTCGCCCCCGCCGCCCCGTCCTTCGGCGTGCGAGGAGGAGAAATCGGCGCAGCGGAGAGCGGCCCCCAGCCCGAGGCGAGACATGTGGGCGCTGCGCGTGTGCTGGGTGCTGCTGGGCACCGTGGGCGCCGGTGAGTTCCTTGCTCCCTCCCCCCCCCCCCTTCGCCCTGGGCGAGGGCTCAGCGCTGCCCTCCTTCCGCTCGCCCCTCTCCGCTCCGCCCGCCCGCCCTTCCTTCCGCGTAACGCCTCCCCGGCCCCTGTCCGAGCGCGGGCGCGCTGGCGGACTGGCCGGTGCGGAGGAGCTGCGCCACCCGCAGCCGTTGGGCGTCGGAGGCCCCGCGTGGCTCGGGGCTCTGGCAACCGGCCGCGGCAGTGCTGTCGGGACGAGGGCGAGGCGGGGGCGACGGCCGCGCTGTCGTCGCGCGCCGGGGCTGCTGCTCGTCCCACCGAAGTGCGCAATGGCAGCAGGGCTGCCTCGGCTCGCCCGGCGCCGCGTCCCCTCCCCATCCCTCCGAGCAAGCCCATTTATTTAGGCGAGCGGCAGGGGTGATGCGCTCTGGGATTGGCTCCCTCTCCAAGCGCCTGATGCTTTCCATAAGCTTCGCTTCAGGATTCCCGCTGCTCGGAATGCGCCGTGGCAGAAGCGACAGCAGGCTCGTGCTGGGGATTGGGAGGTGAGAATTTGGCTCGGGCAGCCTGGCGTTTGCCGTGCCTCCGAACAGACGGGAGGCATTTAGGTAGACGGCTTTCTCTCTCGCTCTCGCCCTCGCCCACATGCGCCTGCTTGTTCGTGTGAGGCAGTGTCGAAACTGCTGGGAGGGCCAGGCTCCGGCTGGTGTGTCACACGCTTGCGCTTTCACGGCTGATCAGGGCTGGGGACGGCTGCTGCCCTTGGAAGAACGCGCCTAAACTGCTCTGGCAGCGTGTAAACTGTGCCCCCTCGACTGGTCTGGCGCTGGTGTTTTCATAAAACTTTGCGGAACCTTTTCCCAGCAACTTCCCCACCGCCCGTGTTGCATTCAACCAAGCTGGGGAACAGTATCCTTCTGGTGGTAAAAAGAGCACGTGCTCCTTTTTCCGGGCATGCTTCCACCGGAATGCAAGGTGGAAGCCAGTAGAAACAGGCTAGGATGGGCTTGCAACATCGTAGATGATTAACCAGGCCCGTCAGTCACGTGTGGGGAAGTAGGCTTGGAGTCCTCGCAAACCCTCCTCACCTTTCAGTAAAGATCACGTGTGTCCTGTGAAATGAACAGTGAACTGAACACCTTTCCTTTGGTGACCCTTCATGAGATCAGTTTGGCTGGCATGCAGACCTTCAAATTACAGTTATACAAGTATCACAAATGCTCAAGTGACACAACATGCGCCACTGCCAACTTTGTAAAAACAGGTCTAATAAATGATCTCTCTCACCTTCCACTTCTGAGAGAAGAACTCAAGCTTCCTATTTGTGTGTGGGGATGGGGATTTGTGTCCTTAAATTTTCACAGTTTATGTGTTTTGCTTTGGAACAGCTGCACTGGGATTGGCCCAGGAGCAGTTATGAGAATTGGAGGCAAAGGACGGAGGGAAACAGAAATGTTTGGAGGTGTGCTAGTTTAATGCCTTACTTGAATTTGGAAGGAGAATTACTATTATGTAATAAAAGAATAAACAGTTATTTATCCAGTGGCTGGCCATGATTGTGTGAGCTCTAGCAGGTTATTTAAATAGCATCAGCACTGTTGCCCTGGTATTCTTGGAGGCGCAGGGTAAAGCAGGGGGCCAGCAACATTCAGCCCCTGCCTTTTCCCTCCCCTACGGTTGCCACCACCATTGTACTGCTAACATTTCTTCAGTGGCAAAACAATTAAAAACTCAGCCATTTGCTGCTGATTTTCAGTGGCAAACTGCTACTGAAGGCAAAATTAACCTAATTTAGTTTGTTTTTGAGAAATGTTGGCCATTGTAGCTTCTGTAGTAGCTTCCTGTTAAAAATTAGTGGCAGATTGCTGCTTGTTTTGCTGCCTCCACCACTAAATGAAGCAGCAGCTGGAGTGCAACCCATGGAGGGACAAGCCCCAGATCCCCTGAAGTTTCACTTTTCTGCGGCAGAAGGACAGTGAACTGGAAATACCATGGCTGGTCCTTTCACTTCCATATGGTGAAGGGTCATAGCATCTATGTTTTTTAAAGTAAACCTTTGAAAATACGTTGAGAAAGAATAGCTACATTTTGTAGGTCAAAGGGATCACACGGGAGACCAAATATAAGATGAAGTGAGCCATATTGACTGCATAAAGGAAACCACAGCCTTCAATTTAGAGCACCTAAGCAGGGATGTCATGAATAGGCCATTTTGGAGGACTTTTATTGATGGGGTCACCACAAGTCAGAGTTGACTTGGTAGCATATAACAACAGGGATCACACTCTTCCAATTCAAACGCCTAAACATTAATCTTTAAATTAAAACAATGGAGACACAAGCCATTCCTTCTCTCCAGAGAGTAGAACACTCCCAGCGTCACATCATCCTCACCAATTATTTATCTGCTATTATTTATTTGTCTATTAACCCGTTCTCCACAAAAATCCTGATAAACTTTAAGTCTGCAATCATATACACATTTTCCTGGGAATTAGACTCATTGAACTCAGTGGGACTTGCTTTTGAGAATACCGTTATAGGGTTATGATCTTAGAATATGATCCTATTAAATTTTAGACAGAATAGAAAATCCTACAAATCCTGGCATTCCCCAGTCAACATGGCTTACTGGGGAGAGCTGGGAACTGTAGAACTTTTTCTCTCTCTAAACATGCACAGGACTGTGCTCTAAGGATAACTCAGCTCTTTACCACTTTACAGCAATGTGGTTAAGCATGAAGGTGGTGGCTCTAAACCATGGTTTAGAATGGGGTAGGGAAGTTGCTGACATTGTCAGAATCCCCTCAGTACACCTTTAAGAAGTGTAGGCAAGGAAGAGCAAGGAACCATGACCTGATGTTTGGGATCAGGTAGATAACAGGGCATTTGATGTTCTAGTACTCACTTGGTTACATAGGATACTTAGATTGAGGGCTGAAGGGAAAAATGCCCATTTGGGATCCACTCCCCTGCAAATTAAGATAGAAACATGTGCTGTAACTCCTATGCTGGGAGTTGTGGGGTTTCTTTTCTCTCTAAACATGCATAAGACTGCACTTTTAGGGAATTAAGTTTTCTTGTATCTGTTGGTGTTCCTAGGTGAGTTGCATCTAAAGTTGGTTTCATTTATAGTGCTCCTGTTTCAATGAATGGAACTTAAGCTAGACTAACATTAGAAACCACCTTGAGTGCAGATTTACATGCTGTTTTCCTACTGGTCAAAATATGTATGGTTTAGCAGCTTCCAGATGAATGGCAGTTGTGGGACGCTTAAATATGTGACCTTCTTAAATCTGATCCAAGGTTCCTACTATTGGAACAGTAAAGACAAAATAGGATTATTTCCAAAATACTTCTCAGGAATTTAAAAAAAATGTGAAACTATGGGTACCTGTGATGGTAGCAGAAGTTTGCTTCACAGCAGCTTAAGGCCATGATAAGCCATGATAAGGTGGGTACTATTCCTAGGAAGCCCAAGATATTCAAAGAAATAAACTGTTAATACTATGAAATTTAAACGTCAATATGGAAGTGCTTTGTAGAGCATGCATTGGTTGAGTCTTGTAAAGTCTCTTTTGAGACTTAGAAGTTAAATGCTTCTGGTTGTTTTGGTCCTGCTTTCCCATTGACATGTTCATGATAGCTAACAGTTACTTTAGCACGAAGCAATTACAACAAATAACTAAAGGCAGATTTTCCTAAAGAAAGACTAACAAATACTCCATTAGAAAAACAGTTAGTCGGATTTGATGCTTCCTATATTGCTGTCAATAGGTGTTGTTTCAAGACTGAAGCAGTCATGGGATAAAAAATACACTTGAAATTTCCATTTCTTCAGCAATAAGAAATATATCTATGTATATGCTGAATAGTGGGGTAAAAATGTAAATGAATAAGTGGATCACAATACATTAGGATGGCCCTTAGGACTTGCACAGGAGCAGGCCACATACAAGGATACATTTTACCTGTTAAAATATCAACAGTTTACAATGCAAGCACAAAATTCTTAAAACAAAAATAATTAGCAACTTTGTTCTCCTTCTTTCAGGTTCTGCCCAGTTGATGTTCCAGAATGTTACTTCTGTAAAAATGGACTCTTGCAATCAAACTGTTCTCATACCTTGTAAGATAATTAATCTAAAGCTGAATGATACTAAACAGATGTTTTTGAAGTGGAAGGTACAAGGGAACTTTTTTTTTTCTTATGATGGTTCTGAAGAAACTTTTTTCAGAAACAGTAGTTTTCAGTCTGCAAATGTGAGCCTGCCAGAGCTTCGTTATGGCAATGCTTCTGTTTCACTATCAAAATTGGAAGCAGTTCCAGGAAACTACACTTGTGAAGTAGCGGAATCTAATAGAGAAGGAAAAATTATAGTTGAACTTGTATACAACTCAGGTAAGCTTGTTTGTCATCTTCTCTATTACATTTTGAGTCTGATGCTTCAGTATTTTAACTCCAGACATGATGTGGATTCTTGCTCCCTTTCTCATAATCCTGCAACCCAAGGGGTCATCCAATAGAGTTGAATGGTAGGAGAGTCAGGAGAGTTGAAAGGAAGTGTTACTTTTCACAAGACTGTGGAAGTGACTGCCACAGAATGTAGCGATGGTCACCATCTGAGATTAATTTAAAAGCAGATTAGACACATTCATGGAAAATGAAGCTACCAGCAACTTCTAGTCATGAAGGTTTGTGGACTTCCCAGAGCAGCTGGATTGCCATTGTGTGAAAAAAAATGCTGGACTAGGTAGATATTTTATTTCTTTTTCGTTATGGCTCTTACTATGTTTCTTGACTGCTATTGGTCTTGATGATGGAAGCTGAAGTGGTATAGAAAGAATTGCATAGCTGCTATATAAGTGATGGTACATAAGAATAGAAAGAGCTCAGTTATGTAGGAGCTTCAGATACATCCAAACCAAAGGACATGTGAAAGAGAAAGGTAGCCAGCTACTTAAAAGTGGATGGCAGAGAGATAACAGATGATAATTCAGTGGAGGTGCTCAATTTCTAGTTTGCCTCTAGTTTGTCTTCTCTTGCCAGAAAATCTAGAACAAAGAGGAAGTACAAGCTGAAAGTGAGAGATGGCAGCCCAAGATTGACAGACAAATGGTCAAGGACTCCCTAGGTGGAATAAAGATGTTCAAATCTCCAGGGGCCAATGAACTCCATCCCTGAGTCATAAAAGAACTAGTGGAGGAACACTCAGAACCACTGTCTACTATCTTCAATAAATCTTGGAAAACAAGAGAAGTGTCAGACGACTGGAGAAGGGCTAATGTTTCCCTCACAAAAGGGAAAAAAGACAAATCTGTGAACTACAGACCAGCTAGTCTGACATCGATTCCTGGAAACGGTCCGGAGCAAATTAATTAAAAAATCAGTCTGCAAGTACCTCAAAGAAATTAAAAGCCAACAGGGATTTATCAAAAATAAATCCTGTCAGACTAATCTAATTTTTTGACTGGGTAACCTCCCAAATGGACAGAAGGAACACCGTGAACATAATTTACCTTGAATTTAGCAAATCTTTTGATGTAGTGCCCCACAATATTCTGATAAGCAAATTTACAAAAAGTGAACTAGATCGAAAAACTATTTGTTGGATACAAAATTGGCTGCTAAATTGGACACACAAAGTGCTCATCAATGGCACCTTCTCACACTGGAGGGAGGTTAACTAGTGGGGTGCCACAGGGTTCAGTCCTAGGTCCAGTGCTCTTCAGCAACTTTATTAATGATCTAGATGAGGACATACAAGGAAAGAAAAGCAAATTTGGAGAACATATAATACTGGGTGCCATAGGAGACACCCTAGAAGAACCAGGGCAACCTTGATAAACTTGAATACTGGGCTGAAAGCAACAGAATGAGGTTCAATAGGGGACAAGTACGAAGTCCTTTACCTAGGAAAAAGAAACCAAATGCATCAATATATAATGGTAAATACATGGTTCAACAGAACTGAAAAAAAAAAGGCCTTGGAATGATTGTGGACAACAGGCTATACACAATGTAATGTGGCTGCAAAAAGGGCAAATGTTATTTTGGGATGCTTTAACAGAAGTATCACTTTCAAATCATGAGAAGTAGTAGTTCTCCTATACTCCTCACCAGTCAAACCATCTGGAATACTGGGCACCAAGATTTAAGAAAGATGCAGAGAATTAGAAAGGATCTAGAGAGGGCAACAAAAATGATCCAAGGTTTGGAAAAACTGCCCTATGAGGAGAAACTGCTTGAACTGGGTATATTCAGCCTTGAGAAGAGAGGAGTGATGGGGGGTATGATACCCCTCTAGAAGTGCCTCAAAGGCTGTCACAAAGAGGAAGGTCAAGATCTCTTCTTGCTGATACCAGAGTGCAGGACACGGAATAATCAACTCAAGTTGAGACAATGTAGATTCAGGCTAGATATCAAGTTAAAAGTTTCTGCACTGTCAAAGCAACACAACAGTGGGGCCAGTTGCCTAGAGAAGTCATGGGCTCTCTCACACTAGAAACATTCAAAAAGAAACTGGAAAGCCCACTGAGTAGAATGGTGTAACATGGTGTCCTGCAACAGCTGGAGTTGGACTCAATGGCTTTCCTGGCCCCTTCCAACTCTATTCGTCTACAATTCTTTGAGCTGAGCAGGCCTACTCTGGTGTTTCTAAGGCATGGATATTTTGGTATGTTTTCGAATGTGTGATTGCATAAGGCTTGGGAAATAATTCCCCAAGCCATTAGATTTTAGTTTTGAGAAGGCTCAAGACAGACATTTAAAAATTAAGGATTGACTTGGTGAGAGGGTTTTTTCTTAAAGCCATGCAATGTGTGGTCAGTACATTTAACTGGTAAGGAAAGTTGAGATACATAATGTTCAGTTATCCTGTGCCACCTCATGTTGTGATTGAGTATTAAAAACTGATCAGATAAATTACCGGATAATCAGTCTTCTCCATTGGTATTAGTGACCACTGGAAACAAACACCTTGGTTCAGAAACTTACTTACTCTTTATATAATTGCCAGTTTGTTTCTAGCCAATGTTTCTACTTTTAATTAACTTTTTGCTTCTATTGTTACTGCATGGTTCTGTCATACTGATAAAGAGCTTTATTATTAAGGGTTTTCTTGCTTTTGTCATAGAGATCTTACCAGATATAGGTAAACTAGTAATTCCGACTCATTATGTTTGTGTGTGTCAAAGCGTGCACTTGATGTGTTTCCATAAATCTAAGGCTGGCTCTTCTGGGTGTGGGATTTCTCTTTCAGTGCAGTGATTGACTGCTGTCTCCTACATCTGTGGCCGCTTTTATTGGCTGCTGTATTTGCTTTAGGAGAAAACTTGCATTAATGCAACCATGTTAGCTGACCTCTCAGTATAAATAGCTCTGTGTGTGTTTTTGAGAGAGAGAGAGAGAGAGAGACAGCACGGGAGTGCGGAGATCGGAACCATGGCTGGAGCAAAGGATTTAATTCTCTCAAGCCATGACCACAATTACTATTTGCATGAAGAGCATAATATCTGTTTGGGCCCCAAGTTGGCTTTCTTTTCATATGAATAATGCTCTTATGATTTAAAAATTGGCAACATTTTAAAAATGCATTGCAACTCTATGTAAGTCAATGGAGTACAAGGCTTCTGCATGCAACTAAGTGCTCAGTTTAAGCTGAGAGGAAGCCTGAGGGGATAATTTACATAGATTAACCCTTTCTGTGACATGTGGAATATTTTGTACAGGGGTTGTGTGGATGTAAAGCCAAGCCGGCCCCAATCTATCCCATACCTTGCAATATTAAGTAGAATACAAGGCAGGTTGTTTTAAGCACAAACAACTGCATTGTTTTCTTGGTTACAGTTCCCCTCCCTCTTCTGCTTACAATATGGTGATTGTCTCCGATATATACATAACCTTTACAAATGTTTCATATTGTACAGAATAGTTACATTGTGGTCAACTGGAAGGAGGAGGAATTTGGTAACTTAAGCCCCAAGCAATTTACAATAGATATCCCAGACTGAGAGTTAAGGTTGGGATGGTGGAGAGAGGCTCACTGTGCCTGGGTCAGACCACATGATAAGCCACACTCAGCGACTAGGGGGCTGCGTGTGGATTGTTGCTGAGATGTGGCTTACTGTGTTATCTAAACCCAGTTACGTTAGCAAGTGTCAGGAAGTCCCAGATTAGCAGCCCATAAGAATGTACACACAGAGCCACACAGAACCACAGAAGTTTGTGTTACGAACTTCAGCAGTTTTATTGGTGACAACACCAGGAAACCCCTCTGCAAAAACAAACCTTCATGAACAGCATTGCCAGGTGGAGATACGCACCTGGCAACTGCAAAATTCCAGAACTTATACAGAGTGTTTTATAGGTTTTGAGTCACTTACACAGGAGCAGCGTAGGTGAGCAAATGGGTAGATAGTGTATTCATAATCAAAACAATGTGAGAAATTTGCAAAGGGGACATAACGTAATGTCACGCCAATATTTAGTAGTGATTATAGGATATTGGCATGACAATCAGACACATGGATCATTACAGGTCTTGGGTGTAAGCTTGAACATGTAAGCAACTCTGATTACAATATGAGAAGAAAAAGCAGTCAGAGCAGCTTTGCAGCTGCTAGCAGAAGAATGGACATCCAGTAGCTTTCCTTGGAGACCGCATTCCACAGAGGATTAACTTTGCAACTGACTGTAGCAGCTGCCTCAGGAAAGTATCAGGAAGAAAAATAAATTAAGTAGATGTCTTCTCCTCACTCTTAAAAAAGCTTATCAATTTATTTATAAAAATAAGTTGAGGTCACCAGCCTTGAACCTGAACTCCTTAATATTATGTATTGCACAAGAAAGTGGACAAAAAGATGGAATGTGTCCTTTCTTCCTGGTTTCTACATGTTGCCACCTTGTCTGTAGCCAAAGATTTGGAAGGTCACAATCAATCTCTAAATATAAAATAGTTCTGGGGGAGGATAAAGCAGCAGAAATTTGCAAATTTGCAAAACCCGACTCAGAAGCATCATGGAATGATCAGGGATTAACGATATAACATTTACAGAAATTTTGAAGCCATGGAAAAATGTTCTCCAGAAAAAATAGAAATATTTGGAAAAATTAAAAAGTTATACTGCATTGATATCACACCTTTTTTTCCTTTTGCAAGGAACCCAAGGGAGTGGGGTTACAAGTTTCTTTCCCTCTCCATTCAGTCCTTAAAACAACAGCCCTGTGAGGTAGGTTCAGCTGAGAAGCAGTGACTTTCCTAAAGACACCAGTGGGCCCAGCCTGATACTCTCATCTGTGTATTACACTGGCTGTCAGTGACCTATGAAATATTAGCACTCTTGTGAGATTGAAAATTACTTTGTTACATTAAAAGCATTATATACACATGCATGCATGCA